AATTATTTCATTTGTAATTCAAATTTTTCCACTTGTAATTCGAATTATTTCTTTTGTAATTAGAATTATTTCATTTGTAATTCGAATTATTCCATTTGTAATTTGAATTATTTCATTTGTAATTCGATTTATTCCCTTTGTAATTCGAATTATTTCATTTGTAATTCGTAACATTTCATTTATAATTCGATTATTCTATTTTGTAATTTAAATTATTTCATTTTTAATTCGAATTATTTTAATTGTAATTCAAATAATTTCATCTGTAATTTGAATTATTTCATTTGTAATTCGAATTATTTCATTTGTAATTCGAAATTTTTTAATTTGTAATCCGAATTATTGCATTTGTAATTAGAATTATTTCATCTGTAATTCGAATTATTTCATTTGTAATTCGAATTATTTCAATTGTAAAGCGAATTAGTTCAATTTAAATTAGAATTATTTAATTTGTAATTCAAAATATTTCAATTGTAATTCGAATTATTTCATTTGTAATTCGAATTATTTCAATTATAATTTGAATTATCTTATTTGTAATTCAAATTATTCCATTTGGAATTCGAATTACATCAATTATAATTCGAATTATTTCATTTGTAATTCGAATTATTCCATTTGTAATACGAATTATTTAATTTGTAATTCAAATTATTTCATTTGTAATTTGAATTATTTCATTTGTAATTCGAATTATTTTAATTGTAACTCGAATTATTTCATTTGTAATTCCAATTATTTCATTTGTAATTCGAATTATTGCATTTGTAATTAGAATTATTTCATTTGTAATTCGAATTATTTCATTTGTAATTCAAATTAGTTCATTTGTAATTTGAATTATTTCATTTGTAATTTGAATTATTTCATTTGTAATTCGAATTATTTCATTTGTAATGTGAATTATTTCATTTGTAATTCGATTTATTCCCTTTGTAATTCGAATTATTTTAATTGTAAGTGGATTATTTCATTTGTAATTTGAATTATTTCATTTGTAATTCGAATTATTTCAATTATAATTCGAATTATTTCATTTGTAATTCGAATTATTTTATTTCTAATTTGAATTATTTCATTTGTAACTCAAATTATTCCATTTGTAATTCGAATTATATCAATTATAATTCGAATTAATTCATTTGTAATCCGAATTATTCCATTCGTAATTCGAATTATTTCATTTGTAATTCGAATTATTTTAATTGTAATTCAAAACATTTCAATTGTAATTCGATGATTCCATTTGTAATCCGAATAATTCCATTTGTAATTCGAATTATTCTATTTGTAATTCAAATTATTCCATCTGTAATTTGAATTATTTAATTTGTAATTTGAATTATTTCATTTGTAATTCGAATTATTTCATTTATAATTCGAATTATTTCATTTGTAATTCAAATTATTTCATTTTTAATTTGAATTAATTCATTTGTAATTTGAATTATTTCATTTGTAATTTGAATTATTTCATTTGTAATTCGAATTATTTAATAATTAATTCGAATTATTTCATTTGTAATTGGAATTATTTCATTTGTAATTCGAATTATTTCATTTGTAATTCGAATTATTTCATTTGGAATTCGAATTATTTAATTTGTAATTTGAATTATTTCATTTGTAATTCGAACTATTTCATTTGTAATTCAAATTATATCATTTGTAATTCGAATGTTTTCATTTGTAGTTCGAATTATTTTATTTGTAATTTTAAATTATTTCATTTGTAATTCGCATTATTTGATATGTAATTCAAATGATTATATTATCTAAATTATAATTCGAATTATTTCATTTGTAATTCGAATTATTCCATGTGTAAAGTGAATTAGTTCAATTATAATTCGAATTATTTCATTTGAAATTCGAATTATTTAATTTGTAATTCGAATTATTTAATTTGTAATTCGAATTATTTTAATTGTAATTCGAATTTTTCCATTCGATTATAATTCAAATTATAATTCGAATTATTTAATTTGTAATTCATAACATTTCATTTGTAATTCGAATTATTCAATTTGTAATTCGAATTATTTCATTTGGAATTCAAATTATTCCATCTGTAATTCGAATTATTCCATTTGTAATTCGATTATTCCATTTGACATTAAAAATTGAATAATTCGAATTGCCATTGAAATAATTCATATTACAATGAAATAATTCGAATTTCAATTAAAATAATTCAAATTACAAATGAAATTATTTTTAATAACTCCAATTACAAATCGAATAATTCAAATTACAATTGAAATTCTAGAATTTCACCTGAAATAATTCGAATTAAAATTCGAATGATTCGAATTGCTAATAAAATTCTAGAATTTCACCTGAAATAATTCGAATTAAAATTCGAATTACAAATAAAATTCTCAAATTACAATTACAATGTTTCGAATTACATCTGAAAAAGGGGTGTGATTTTATATTCGAACACTTTTTGGAAATTTTAAATTTTTGTAGAATTTAACTTCGTTATAGCCCCCATTGCCTCCACATTTCGTCTCTGTACCGCACCGTAACTACACACCCAAAAATTATGCTGAATATATAATTTAGAACATACAAGAAAATAGCAAAAAGATATTAGAAATTTATATATATATTATTATACACATACATACGTATATATATAGAGAGAAAAGGAGTAAAAATCTACATACATACATATTACATATTTAAATAAAATCATAAAAAAGAGATTAAAAAATAATAATAAAAAAATACATACAAAAAATATTTTTAAATAATTAACAATTTTTCTTTTATTTTATTTATGCTCATATTTCGTAAATTGAGATTGGTTTTGAATTTCTAGGAAATGGCAGTGAAATGCTATAGAATTCAACGACACTCGGAGGCAGTGATTTGGATTTGTGGAAGAATAACTGAAAATGGTCGATTTTTATCGAGGAAATGCAGCGTGAGACAAGTAATGTTGTAAATCGAATCGAAGAATTGACTGCACCTAAAATATCATGGAGGAAAATAGAATTTAATTTATGCTCAACGGGATACGAGAAATATGAAAATATCCACCACTGGATGGATCAGAATGCTACTAAAAGCAGTAAAGAAGGTCTTAAAGTCGGGCGGGGCTGACTTTATGATACCCTACACCACTTTGCTAATTCAGTAGAGCTCCATATAACAATTAAAAGTTTTTATGGAAGGAATCAATCATACAAGCTATGATTATTATTATAATTTACAGTTCAAAGGACTAAAAGCATTTGCATCTTTTAAATTCGGACTTGTATTGCCCATTTGGTGCACAATTAATTTGAAATCGGATAAAGATATATATGGAAGCTATATCCAAATCGGCACCGATCTCGATAAAATTTGGCAAAGATATTTCTGAGTTGTATTTGAAATATTTCTCTGAATATCGTTGTTACGGAGTGCATATTACGGCTGTGGGCAACAAATATAACAAATCGGATGAACGGTATAAATGGGAGCTATAGCTATATTTGAACCGATCTTCACCGAATTTGACATACTACCTTCATGACTCGGTCATAAGTGTCAAATTCCATCCCATTTGGACAAATATTAGACGTTTGGTGCACAATAAAAAAGCTAAATCGGATGAAGTTATATATGGGAGATATATCCCAATTCTGAACCGATCTGGATGAAATTTAGCAAAGGTATTTCTGAGCTGTATTTGGTATATTTCCCCAGAATATTGTTGTTACAGAGTGCATATTACGGCTGCGGAGGACAAAAATACAAAAATCGGATGAACAATATATGTGGGAGAGATAGCTATATCTGAACCGATCTTCACCAAATTTGACATACTAGCTTCTAGACTCAATTCGGTTGTAAGTGTCAAATTCCATCCCATTTGGACAAATATTAGACGTTTGGTGCACAATAAAAGGTAAATCGGAAGAAGTTATATATGGGAGCTATATCCAAATCTGAACCGATATTGATAAAATTTAGCAAGGTTATTTCTGAGCTGTATTTGATACATTTCCCTAAATATTTTTGTTACAGAGTGCATATTACGGCTCCGGAGGACAAAAATCGGATGAACAATATATATGGGAGCTATAGCTATATCTGAACCGATTTCAATCAAATTTGGCATACTTATTTTCAGGCCTAATTTGGTTGTACGTGCAAAATTCCATACTATTCGGGCTGATATTACAGCGATTGGTGCATAATAAAAGGCAAATCGGATGAAGATATATATGGGAGCTATATCTAAATTTTTACCGATTATCCCCAATTTCAATAGGGTTCGTCATTGGGCCAAACAAATGACCTGTGCAAAATTTCATCTGGATCGGGTAATAAATGCGAACTGTACTTTGTTTACGAAAATACATGGACAGACAGACGGACCGACGGACATGCATAAATCGACTCAGAATGTAATTCTATGCAGATCATCAAAAGGAACTATAGGTCTATCTCGTTTCCTTTTGCCTGTTACAAACAAATCCACAAAGACATAATACCCTGGCCACCTTGTGGTGTAGGGTATAAATAGAGGTCGATGAACAAAGATGGACCAGAAAATCCCAGGTATCATACACGACATCTAGATTAACTCGTCCGGCCAAGCCAAAGCTATATGTAATATATGGAAAAGTAAGAACGAAGTTCTCAAGTTTCTAACAGGCAGCCCTTAGGTAAAACCTGTCTAAACCCTGTCGTGATAACTTCAATACATTGTACCCTCATGTCATCATTGGAAAAGACAAAGAATCTGCGCGCATGTCAGCAAAATCGAGTTTTTGTACCTGAAATACCTGCTGGGTTCTTACCCGGAGAGTCAAAAGACAGCATCGTCCTTTCTCTTTGAACTAGCAGTCTATATCGATGCGAGCATATGAATGAATCCACGAAATGAATTGCGAACATGAGAACGTCACAAATTACGAAAAATATTTGGGATTGGAAACAAAACAAGGAGGTCCAGCAATATACAACCAAAGGTCAGATTTGCTCGTTTTTACTCCGAATGAAACTGCCTCGCAAGCGGGAGTACTCAAGGAGCGCGAGTTTTTTTTTTTTTGATGTTTACTCCGCTTTTTTGTATGTGGGTGCGGCGCAGGTTCTGCTGTTGCTGTGAAAGTCGAAAAAAACATCAGCGGCAAGGGTTGAGAAAACATGAGCTCGACATGTTCCCCCTTATTCGAGGGACATCGAAAAATGGAAAATTAACGATTTTTCCTACTCCGAGGAGTATTCTATGCTTCAATTCGACTGGAGAGCAAAACTCGCTCTCTGGAAAATGGAAAATCTCAAATTACAAATGAAATACTTCGAATTTCAAACGGAATGTAACGAAACACAATAAAAATGTTACGAATCTCAAATAGAACTTTCGAATTATGACTAAAATATTTCGAGTTAAATCTCAAATAGTTACAAAATAATACCTCCGCAAATTCTTTTCCATCCCCTTCGCCATTTGTCAAATACCAAAACCAATCTCTCATTTGTTCTGTTCTGTATCTAAAACTGAATAACTATTTACAATATCTTCGATAAAAAAATAAAATTAAAACAATTTCACACAAACGGCTCCGGTTCTTTCAATCTCCCCCTTTTGTGCGCACTTAACATTCTCCCCGCCAAAGGCCTTAAAACTTCTGCGCTTTATTCTCCATTGGTGGTCGAATACTTTCCAAATCATGTTCCGGACTAAGGACAAAAATCGGTGAGGCAAATTCCGAATCATTTGTCAGACTGGATTTACGTGACTGATAGGGTGGTGGCGGGGCTACAACAGCATGTTCATAATACGCGGCTTTCTCTTTGCCCCGCTTGAGCATAAAGTACACAACGAAAGCACAAATCAGCAGCGTGGTACAACTGGCCGTAATGAAGAGTACCAGTTGGATGGTACCCTCATGGGATGTCACCACCTTGGCATAGGTGGGTAACTCTTCGCGACGATGTATGAATTGGGTGCGGGTTATGTCGGTGGTGTAGTGGCCAGCGGCCAGTCGGAAATCACCACTTGTTATGGTCGTCTCAATGGCAAAGGCCAGATCCACTTTGTCCTCACTGTGCAATTCGAAATGGATGGCTGCCGAACCATCGGAGAACTCTTGAACGCGTAGATTCTCCACAGGACGTCCCAGGAGTTGGACCAATTCACTGCGTATGATATCGTAGACATTGTGCACTGCCGTTCCGGTGTTATTCTGCATGTGCATTTCAATAATTACCGCCGAAATGGGTGTGGGCGAACAGTTGTGTTCACCCTTTTCGAACATGGGCGACGAGTCCAATTGATTGCCGGCGCTATCGACACACCAACAATATTTCTTGTTACACTGTATGGGACTGAAGGCACCATTCTCATCACACGACACCGGGAAGGGGGCACCTTGGGCCAGGGCACGACAGCGGGTGGTCTTGACGTGCAGGGGTTTCACAGAGTCCACCACCAACTGGGAGTCCAGCAAAGAGTTGGCCAATTCCAAAACGCGTTCGGTGACACTTGGTTGCGGTTGGGCGCCAGAGGTGGGTGGCATTTTTGTGGTTGTGGACGTTGAAGTACTGCTACTGCTGCTCGAAATTTCAAAATCAACTGCAATGCCCTCCACTTTACGTTGCCTGCCCTCAGGGCCATTTACGAATTCCTCCTCCCCCGTTTCGCTTTCCAAGAAATTATCAAAATCCGTCAACACTGTCATTTGCCTGATCAACTCCTCCATGACAGTCAGTTCATCATTGTTCTGTGGCCTAAATCTCCTTCCCTGACGGCTATTGCAGACTGGCTCCACATCTCGCGTTAGAGAACCCTTAATGGGGGCACCCTTTTTATCGGCACACCAACACACACCATATGGCGATGTTGGCTGATCCAGCGGCACACTTAAGCCATTAAGGTCAGGTTGTTTTCCCAAACACTGCACCGGACTCCAGTGTCCGGTAATGGGATCACATCTGGGCTTGAACCATACCGAAGAGTGGCCAGTCCTCTGGGCAGCCAAGGTGTTCTTCAATTTCAATCTTTCACACTGGGTCAGGGCAGGACACACGGAATTACAGGACAGCTCATTGTGGAAGAGATTTTTGGTTTGACAGCTATTTCCTTGGGCATCAATGGTCACAGGGACACAGCGATTGGCTTTCGGGTTGAAACGATAACGGGTGGCGTTTTGCAGGGAATCCTGTTTAGCCAAGCAGGATTGGTCCATGGATTCAAAGCAGACATCTCCTAAAGATGAAAATTCGGAAAACAGGGAACAATGAATATTTTCATGGGGATAACTCTGTTCAGGGCTGAATAGAATTTTTCCTTTTGGGGAAAACTCTGTTCAGCCAGGGCTGAATAGAATTTTCCCTTTTGGGGAAAACTCTGTTCAGCCAGGGCTGAATAGAATTTTCCCTTTTTGGGAACACTCTGTTCAGTCTGGGCTGAATAGAATTTTCCCTTTTGGGGAAAACTCTGTTCGGCCTGGGCTGAATAGAATTTTCCCTTTTCGGGAACACTCTGTTCAGTCTGGGCTGAATAGAATTTTCCCTTTTGGAGAAAACTCTGTTCAGCCTGAGCTGAAAAACTCTGTTCAGCTAGAGCGGAATAGAATTTTCCCTTTGGGGGGAGGGGGGAACTCTATTCAGTCAGGGCTGAATAGAATTTTCTCTTTAGGGGCAGCCTGGACTGGGGTTTGGGAAAATGTTGGCCTTTACTCACTTGTTTTGGTACAGCATACCCCGCGATTGGTCACCGGATTTAGTTGGCAGGTATGGGAACTGGGACAGGATTCATTTTCATTGTGGGGACCACAGCTTACTTCCACGGATCCCTGTTTCAGAGGACTTCCTTCGGGACATATTGACTCCCTCCTGGGCACACAAATTGGCATTTTCGGGCAATGCGAGTCCACACATTCCACACTGATGAGCTGGCAATCTTCTCCCGCAGCACAATGGATCTCATCACAGAAGTCACGACATTCACAGGTCTGACAACCATTCTTGTCCACCTTATAACCTGCCTCGCACATTACATTCGCATCGCATGTCATCTTCTGGCATTGGAAGGCTGAGTTCTCTTGGCACACAGGATTGGGATTTTTCACTCGCGTTCCATTCATTTCCTCGCCCCGTTCATTGACACACCAACAGTAGCCATCGGGAGAGCATTGCACCTGCTTCCATTCTCCCGTCTCAGCATCACAGAGGGAGATATTCATTTTCTTGACAGGGATTCCCAATTCGGAGGACTGATGCATTTGTATGGCCTGCAAGTGTTGACAGGCTGTTTTCATCTGGGGCAGGACACATTGGGTGCCACAGCCATTGGAGCAGCAACGTTTGGCCCCCTCACAATGGGAATCGGTGCGGCATTCATAGGCACAGGCATTGGTGTCTTGGTTATCGGGACCTGGGGGAACCAAATAAGGACATTGGCCTGGCTTCCGGGCCAAACAGGCTGGGACGGGTGGACAGTACTCATCATCACAGGATACCTCCACAATGCGACATTCCTCATTTTCCCCACATATGACATCCTGACAGGGATCACGACATTGACAGGCCGGGCAACGAGTCTCGGGATCCAAAGTAAAACCGTACTCACAGCCCATGCGACAGGTCAAATCCAGACAATCGATTTCATTGCGCATCTTATCACAGGACTCATCGGTGAGATTGAAGCCTCGAGATTTGGGAATTTCCGTCCCAAAGTTGTCCACACACCAACACTCCTCGACATCCAGTTCAATTATCTCCTCCTCATTGATGGGTCTCTTGGGGGCAGGCACAACCTTTTTGAAATCAGTTTCGAACAGCTGTCCCAACCCTTGTTCCCTTGAGGCGCCCATATCAATGACCTTGGCATTGCGGCCCATGACGGGAGCAGCCACCTGGACCTTGAGTAAACTATCATCAACCCGATACAATTTGAGACGTTCCGTATTACGTTTGCTACGCTTGGGCGCCGGATTACCGGCCAATAGCATGCGCATGCGTCTGATGGTGTTCTCTTCCAGAATTTTGCGTTGTTCCGCGCGCGTTACCTTGATTTTGCGATACGAACATTGGCGACTCTCATAGTTGCCTTCGTCCGTGCAACGAGGTGTGGGCAGGGCCAGCTTCATACCTTCTTCGGTACCTTCCATGCGTTGGGAAAAGTCACGAAGATATTCGCACACTAACAAATTGGGAAAGAGAACAAAGAGAGAGAGAGAGAGAGTGAGAAAAAGAGAGAGTAGGAAAAACGAGAGAATTTTAATTGAGTGCCTGCCAAGAGAATTTTGTCGCCAACTTACTTGTCTGCTGATGCTCCTCCTTGGTAGTAGCCTGATTCGTTGCCTCTCTCACGAAAGGGCAGCAAACGCTCTCAGCTTCTCCCCTTAACTTCGTACATTTATAATCACTGGGGCACATAATCCGATTCGACATGGATCGCGACAATTTGGGCTCTGGGTCCACATCAAAAAATGACTTAATTTCTCTGCCATAATCCTTGCGTTCCGGGAAGCAATACAAAATCTCACTGGTGGCGTTGTCGGTTAAGGGGGTGCCCACGTCACAGGGATTGGAATAGGCCAAGGTGGGTTTACACACCGGCCAGGAGGCACAGAGAGCTGAGCCCGATTTACACATAGGGTCCGTGGCCACCTCACATTGCGAACCAATTGGACATTGGAAACCATCACAGGGTTCGGAACACTCACATGTCGGACAATTGTTGTGATCGTTCTAAAGAAGAAGGGGGAGAGAAAAATAATGAAAATAGGAAAATGAAATTTTTCCAAAGGATAACCCTGCCCTGCCCTGCTGAATAGGATTTTCCGAAAGGAAAATTTCATATTCAGCCCGGCAGAATAATATTTTCCCAAAGGAAAATTTCTTCCAGCCCGGCTGAATAATATTTTCCCAAAGGATTTTCCACAAGGATTTTTCCATAGGATTTTCCGACAGGAAATTTCCATATTCAGCCCGGCGGAATAGGATTTTCCATAGGAAAATTTCATTTTCAGCCCCTATTCCATAGGAAAATTTCATATTCAGCCCGGCTGAATAGGATTTTCCGATAGGAAAATTTCATATTCAGCCCGGCTGAATAGGATTTTCCGATAGGAAAATTTCATATTCAGCCCGGCTGAATAGGATTTTCCGATAGGAAAATTTCATATTCAGCCCGGCTGAATAGGATTTTCCGATAGGAAAATTTCATATTCAGCCCGGCTGAATAGGATTTTCCGATAGGAAAATTTCATATTCAGCCCGGCTGAATAGGATTTTCCGGAAAATCATATTCGGTCCGGCTGAATAGGCTTTTCTGATAGGATTTTCCGAAATTTCATATTCAGCCCGGCTGTATCGGATACTCCTATAGGAAAATTTCATATTTAGCCCGGCTGAATAGGATTTTCCGATTTTTTCTTAGGAAAATTCCATTTTCACTTACCTTAAATCCATATTCGCATACAGCCGCACAGATATTCGTATCACATTTATTCTCGTTGAAGCTGCGACCCATCTCCGAGCGGCTGATCATATTTTCCCAACCCTCACAATTGACAGTGTTGGCAGCTCCCATGGTACCGCTTATCTTATGGCCGGTACGTGGGTCCACACACCAACAGACCAGGCCATTGCGTGAACATTGCCGCGGGGCAAACATACTATTGGGTCCCGTACAATCCGGAACATAGCCCCTTCCCTCTCGCTCGCTGATGCTCAAAATCTCCGACAAAGCTTTAACCTGTTGACAATTGGTGACGTTGTGCGGCTGTTGACAGTTGTATTGACATCCCGCGGTGAAACAACATTTCGCCATGTGTGGACATTCCAAATCATGCGAACAGGGTGCTCCACACATATGTCCCGTTTGGGGTGTGTAATTTTCGGTCTCCGGTGCAGGACAGATACCCGGTTTGCTAAACCGCAAGGCACTGGGACAACAGACGCCATAGTCATTACCATTTTCAACCATACACTGATAGAGTGGTGGACACTGGGGTTTGCCCTCCTCCAGGCCACAGAGGAATGGTCTCATGCTATTGCTGCCATCCTCAATGGCCAATGGCAGACCAGCCGGACAGAAATTGCTCAGCGAACGGGCCTTCTTGCAGGTCGGCACCGGGGGACATGGTTCAGTTTTACATTTAACCTCCACCAATTGACAGGCCTGGCCATTGGGACAGTTCAATTCCTCACACGGATCGCGACAGCGACATTGTGTACATCCTGTTTGGGGATCGCGTGCAAATCCCGCTGGGCAAAACATTCTACACGCTGAGGCGGGGCAGTTGTCTGGTTCACGACATTGTACATCTCTCCTGCTCTCTTGCCTGGTACCGGGTATTTCAATGCCATACTCATCGACACACCAACAATCCTCACCGCGTTTGTTATTCGTACATTGGATGGGTTCGAAACGACCCGATTTATCACATCGCGGAACACGATTCTTTAATGCCTTCGCCCGTCTACCGACCGAGCGACGTAAATGCTGACAGGCTGTTAAATTTGCTGGAATGAAGAGAATAGAAGTAAGGAGATTAATAAGGAGGAGGTAATGAAATGGAATGGTGAAATGGCTCTCAGAGCAATGATGTGCATAACTAAATTGAGAGTTGGGAGTGTATGAGCGTAACTGAGAATGCACAATCGTTGGCGAAAAGAGAAAAAAGAGAAAAAACATATCACCAGTGCTGCTAACGTACGTTTTTGGGCAGTTTTCATATCAATGCCTCAGAGCAACGAATAATATCAGAAAGAGGAATTTTTTTTCAAAACCTTATCTTCAAGCTCCAATTTAAAATTAATAAATCTCAAAGCTCCAATCGAAAACTGAATTTTTAAAATTTTTTCTCAGAAATGTTCTAAAAGCTCTAATTGAGGATTTTAGAAAAACTTCAATCGGAGATCTTTAGTATTTTTCTTGCTGTTCTAATCGTGGTATTTAAAAAAAAAAATTCCCTAACCTCGTGAATTTTTAAAAATTTCGACAATTAAAATTGTTTCTCGAAACCAAAGCAGAGAGATTTGCTCATAGTTTCACTCGGGAGCGAAACTTGCTCTCGAATTGGATTACTCGAAGAGTGAGAGTTTTTGTAAGGAGTCTACTCGTCACTCATTTGTATAGTGTGGGAACACGCCCGAGTCGGACTGAGGATTGAAGGGTTGGGGAAGAAGGGCGTGATTTTGTTTTGAAAGGTACTCAAATATAGAAATTCAAAAAAGATATGACAAAAACTAAAAGAGTGCTCTGCAAGAGGATATTTTTCTCACACTCAAAAACGATGAAAATACGCTCACTCATATTCGAGCGAATTTAAGCGAGTTTTTCGGAGGTCTGTTCGAAACTGTAATTGTAGATTTTAATGATTTTTTAAGACGCTCTAATTGTGGATTCTAAGGAACTTTTTAGAAACTTTAATGTTGGATTTTGAAAAAATCTTTATAGGCTCTAATCTAATATACGTTTAGAGCTTCTAATGCTCTATAGTTAAATTTTTTCAATAATTACAGGCAAAGTCCAACAGATTATGAAAGCAGAGCTAAAAATAGAAGATCGAACAGCCTTATGGGCTCTTCTTGCAGTTCCAATCGTGGTACTTTATTAGAATCTCTCAAAGCGAGTATCCAATTTGAGATAAAAAAAACTGCAACAAAGTCAAACGCCATAATTTTTACATTTTATTGAATGAATGCAAAAAATGTCGGAAAAAGCATCACATTTTAGAATAAGTTTAGATTTGTTTGAATTGCTCATCTTTGGGAAGAATTATGGCCTTCCAACGGCCAATGAGAATGTCACACGCTGCCCGAATGTTGTTCTGTGGTATTTTGGCCCATTCCCGGCGAAGTATTTTTGGTATTTTTTGTGTGTCAACTTTGCTTTTCAAAATACTCCAGACACAATAGTCCAACGGATTGGTATCCGGAGATTCTGGTGGCCATTGTGCGCTGGAAATGAAAAGAGGAACCTCATTTTGTAACCATTCTTGGGTGGCGCGTTCTGGGTGCGATGGTGCTGAGTCCTGGTCTGAATGTCCCAGGTCTGCGGCCTAAATGTTTGCGTGCCCAAGGCTTTAATACACGCTGCAGAATATTTTCGCGATAATAGTCGGCATTTATTCTGATGCCACGGTCGATTAATACGAGCGGAGAGCGACCATCGGCTGTTATGGGGGCCCATACCATCACCAGGGCCGGCGCTTGAGTTCTGGTTCTGGGTGGCGCGTGCTGAGTCCTGTTGGAATGTCCAAGGTCTGCGGCCAAAATGTTTGCGTGCCCAAGGCTTTAATACACCCTCCAGAATATTTTCGTGATAATATTCGTCATTTATTCTGATGACACGCTCGATTAATGCGAGCGGAGAGCGACCATCGGCTGTTATGGCGGCCACCCACACCATCACCAGGGCCGGCGCTTGAGTTCTGGTGACCAACCGAAGTCGGTGCACATTTTCAGCTGACCTCTTTGGCAAGTAAACACGATCATTTTGTTTTTTTACAAACTACTGGACAAAGAATGTTTTCTCATCGGAGTCGGAGAAAACCAAATTCGGCAGTTCACCACATTCAGTCAAGCTAGGCAACTCTTTAGCTCTTTTGAGTCTATTTTCTTTCTGTTGCGGTGTAAGTTCTTGTACTTTTTGGAATTTCAATGGCTTTACCCCGAGCTCATTTTTCAATATTTGCCGAATGGAATAATGCAATATGTTCAGCTCACGAGCCATTTTTCGGCCACTGCGACGCGGGTCTCAATCAAGTCGCCTCTTTACTTTTCGAACCATTTCTGCTGATGTTGCTGTTTTCTTCCGTCCATTTCCTTGACGTCGGGCTACGTTAAAAATATCACGGTAACTAGCGATGGTAAGAGACACAAAATATTTATTCACATTTAAATGTTGGAGTGCTCTACGGATAGCCACCTGTGGTTTGCCAGCCAAATATGAAGAAATCACACTATCACGTTTGAATTCCGCCACGAATAATTTTATTTTCTGGAAAATTCTCAGCAAAATGCTTTTGTACGCTTGTAAACAATATAATGAGCTGTGAGTGGAATAATTTTAACAGCTGTCTGATGAGTGGCTTAGAAATGACAGCAGTCTGACGTTGGTTGTAGTTTTTTCATCTCACCCTATATTCTGAGGGATTATTCCTAAATTTTTGAAATTTTCTTTCCTAGGAACATAGTATTATTCCAAACCATTCTTGGCAGAGAAAAGCTGTATTTCTGCAAACATGTATAAATCCAAATATTTGTTCAATTTTTTAAAATTTTTAAATACTTGCTTTATTTACCGGCCAATTAATAAATTTTTTTTGACTCTTATTTACATTTATCTTTCTCTCTTCTCTGACCTTCTTTTCGCCTCGAACAACAACCTGTCGATTATAAATGCAAACGTTCCCCCGTTCCATATAAAATTTATACAAATAAAAAACTGATTAAAAAACGAACTCAAATGAAAGCGAAAGTGAGAGTTTGTCGTTACTCATTCACGGGCACTCATCCAAAGATGGTGGTGTAATAAGAAATTCCAATAAAACAAATCATTGCTGCTGGCGGTCTTTCGTTTTCATTGGCTTTCATTGTTTGCAAAGCTCAAACATCGTCCGCCGTCTGGATCATGGCTGTCGCTGTGGCTGTGGTGAAATCAAAATCCAGTTCTACTCCGGACTCATCGAAAACCGACAGATTAAACTTGAAAAAAAAAAAAAAAACGTGTGATGTAATACTCCACACAGACCCGGCGCGGAGATAAAGAAGCCGTTATGTTGCGGAGCTGCTAGAGCGATTCTAGTTGACGTTGAAAGTTGTTATTGCAACTGGACCAAAAATGGATGAATGAATGGATAGTTGACTGACTGGGTGGCTGGAAGAATAAATGAATGAATGGATGGATGGATGGATAGTTGTAAAGTTACTTTACAGCATCGTTAATTGAATGCTTTTTACGAGGGCAGACCACAAATTGGGTTACTTGAAAAAGAAATGTCTAAACATTTCAAAAAGGACGTTTTTAGTAGAATACTATCTTTTACATTTGGTGTGCTAAAAGGTTTCCGAGGGTACAAAACTAGTATCGTTTAAAAAATCTGAAAATTCAAAAAATGGAACAAAAAAGTAACAAACAAAAAGCAAATTTTAAAAAAAATAGGAAAATGCTCCCGATAACATGATTACCTATCGGTACCATATCGTACCTATATCAACTATCTTCTTTCGTAATTGTCCAGCCCTGAAGTAACTAAAATACAATGTTTCGATTGGAAAATATGACCAAGAACCTCTAAATAACTAAAATCAGGTAGTATCTTTATGGAAGTTCTATATCAAGAGGGTTTCTAGAGATTTTCTGCTCACTAAGAACTGAAAATACAAAAATTGGCTTAGATAAGCTGGAAAATAATGCTAATCCATTTAAAAATACTTGAAACCGTTTTAAACCTTAATATGGTGGCTACAACAAAAAAGGGGACCGATATGATTTAATATTTTGAACCATATCTTGAATTCTTTAAGTAATCCCGAACTCTCTCAAATTTCAAAGCTCTATGTAAAATATTGTGGAATATAGTTCAAAATTGCGTTTTGGGGTCTCTTTGCGTTTTGGGGGTTTGATCGACAAGCCGACCACAAATAAATTTGCTTGAAATTTCGCAAAAGATATTTTATGTTCCAAAATTTATGCAATTTTTATGATTTGTATTAAATTTATAAATTTCTTGAATATTTCCTACTTCGACACTTACCCCAAAAAATTAGGTACTATGGGATATTTTGATTCGGATTGGATACGTGTTAAATTAAGAATAAAAAAGCAAACACATAATTTTCCCTTCTAATATTCAAAACTCGGATTCAACTTTCTTAAAAAATATTCAGAATGCTGTCATTCGTAAGCCACTCGTCCGAGAGCTATTCAAAATATTCCAGTCATAGCTCATAATATTGTTTACAAGCGTACAAAAGCATTTTGGTGAGAATTTTCCAGAAAAAAAGTTATTCGAGATGGAATTCAAGCGTGATAGTGTGATTTTTTTATATTTGGCTCGAAAACTACAAGTGGCTATCGTTGGAGCACTCCAGCATTTAAATGTGAATAAATCTTTTGTGTCTCGTATCATCGCTCGTTACTGTGGTACTGGTAGCGTAGCCCGAAGGAAGTGGACTCGGACGGAAGAAAACAGCAACATCAGCAGAAATGGTTCCAAAAGTAAAGAGGTGACTTGATCGAAACCTGCATCGCAGTGGCCGAAAAATGGCTCGTGAGCTGAACATATCGCAATATTCCATTCGGCAAATATTGATAAATGAGCTCGGGGTAAAGCCATTGGAATTCCAAAAAGTGCAAGAACTTAGAAAACATTCGTTGTCCAGCCGTTGGTAAACAAACAAAATTATCGTGTTTTCTTGCCAAAGAGTTCAGCTGAAAATATGCACCTTCGGTTGGGCACCAGAACTCAAGCGCCGGCCATGGTGATGGTGTGGGCCGCCATAACAGCCGATGG